ATGTACGGCGGCTACTCCCCTGATGCACAGTCTGATTCTAGTGAGGGTGGGTACTCACACAAGCGGATGTGCTGCGGAGTTTGCGGCGCCCTACCTGCCATCGCGTGGTTTTGTGGTCTGGTGGCGCTGCTGTATTTCTACAAAGACGCGACTTGCAGCCACACCTCAACGGGTGAGGGTGACATTATGCTGTTTCTGCGGATGAGTGCGGGTGGCTTCTTCGTATTGTTCGCCATAGAGGTAGTCGAAGGCTGCATCGCTGGAGAGCACGACTTTCAGACTTCCCCTCAAGAGATCGCCATCAATTGCTGCACCGGCATTGTATTCATTGCCCTCTACATCGTCAACTATTACGGCGTCATCCAGATCTACACGGCGGAGGCATGCACTGACGATCTGGTAATGATCGGTTGGCTCGTGCTGGTGGGGAACAACCTGGTGTGGTTTGCGACCATTGCCACCATGGTCGCCACGGGGCTGTGCGGAACCGCCATCGCGGCAGCCGATTTCGCCAGCGGGGACCGCCTGTGACAGGGAGCCTCCGCTGCCCTGCTGTGCCCCCGGCAGATCGCCCTGCGGCCGCTGCAGGCCTCGCGGCGTGCCCCTCGCAGCGGCAGCCTGCCCGCTCGGCGAGGACGGCTCGCGGCAGGGCGGCCCAGGGCCGCCTCGCGCCCGCTGAGCCTCGCGCCTGCTCGTCGCGGCCGGGGAGGCCGCCCCTGGAGGCCCAGGGGGTGGCACCAGCACCAATTCCCATCGATGTGCCTCCACCGAGGGAGGAGGAGCTTGACCTCGGTGATGGTGTCCAGGCCTCCTCCACGCGAGGGCCAGAGAGGCGGGGTCCGAGGGTCGATCCGCATCGACGAGGCGGCTCGGTGCGGAGCCAGAGTGCCTCCACGCCGACGGCGCCGAAGCATCGCCGATTCAGCGGCGATGCATTGGCGATGCGGCGCGATCCTCCGACACCATCTACTCGGACCCGAGGAGGTCCTTCTGGTGGGAACATTCGCGCCTCCTGGATGGCCAGAACGTTACCACCGACACCGAGATCTAGGATCGTTTTCTCCCGGCGGCGGCAACCTCTTGAGCTGGTGTTGGTGCCAACTTCCAAGCCTCCAGCCTTCAGGCACGATAGGGGTAGCGGGGCGGGTATCCAGTGGCCTTCGGCCCCTCTGCCGCCGTGCCCCTGCTTTGCGTCAGGGGCGCCGCGAGAGCGGACGCGGCCGGACAAGCACTCACGGCCATGAACCCGGAGGGCGCCCCCCCCCACCCCACCCCAAAGGCTCTCGGGGACACTGCGGTGAGCGCGCTGCGCCGCGTGCTGGGAAGCAGCAGTGCCATGAAGTCGCGAGGCGTGGCCCCGAACGTTTCATGGTTGCTGCGCTGCCGTTCAGTGTCTTGTTGGATGTCATGTTGGGGGCCGCTTGGGATCCCATTGGCGTCCTCTTGAGGGCCTCTTGGGATCTTCTGTAGGCCTCTTGGGAGGCCTCTGGCTTGCTTCCTTCGGAACCTGTTGGGGTCTTGGGGCTATCTTGTGGTGTGGGAGAGGCCTGGGTCACAGCCGCGCTCCTGGGGTCCATTCGCGGCTTCCCTTTTGGAACCCTGTTTGCATCCTGTTTGGAATCATCTTGGAATTCCTCAGTGGCTTTTGGGGGACTCTTGGGTGACTAGGAGGCCGTCGTGAGGCCGAAGAGACGGAACTGCGTTGGCCTCTTGAGCCGGTCCCAGGGTCCCCAAAGACGGCCCAAGAGGCTCCCATCATGCTTTGAAGAGCCGTCTTGTGAACCTCCTAGGGCCTGAGGCCTGAATCCCCGACCATAGGATCCGCCATCATGGGGCAAGTTTCGGACGCGCGTTGTGTGCATCATCTGACCCCTAGCCCCCAGGAGTGGTGGACGAGAAGGAGGAGGAGGAGGAGGAGGAGGAGGAGGAGGAGGAGGGAGGGGGAGTAGAGGAGGAGAGGGGGAGGAGGAGGAGAGGGGGAGGAGGAGGAGGAGGAGAGGAGGAGGGAGGAGGAGGAGGAGGAGCTGGAGGAGGAGGAGGAGGAGGAGGAAGAGTAGGAGGAAGAGGAGGAGGAGGAGGTGGGAGGGAGGAAGGGGGGGAAGGGGAAGGGAAGAAGGGGGGAGGACGAGCGATCCTCAAACGTCGCCCTCGGACAACAATGGGGATGAGTTTTCTCTTTGTTACGCAATGAGATCATGGGTATGAGTTGACTCCATCAAGTGCTACGTGTTGGATGCACGTTGGCGGATCCCTTCGAGTGCAGCGGTTGTGTAGTGTGCATGGGCGCGCGTCTGGAGAGTTGTCGCAGTCTGCCGCAGCTCGTCAGGAGAGCGATCTGTCGCACTGTATCAGTCTCGCGCATTACATCCCGCACGACTGGAAGAAAATCGCCAGACGCCACGCTTTGCCTTGAGCTGACCTTGTTTTTTGTGTCCCGGTCTGGACATGCACGCCTCCAGCCCGTGGCATTTCCTCAGCGGGAGTGTCGTTCAGGCGCGGCGCAATTGATTTATACGCATGCGCGTTTGACTTATCAGTGCGTCGTGCTTTGCGTCTGAAGACAATAAGTGTTGCATCATGGTCGCGTGCGTGCGGTCGGGAATGTTGGAATAGTGTGTTGCTCCGCCAGTTCTGGCCCATCACGCTTCGGGGCGACACGCTATCCGCTTCCAGGTCCCCCAGCATCAACGTCCCGAGCTTTTCCGAGCTTCCCGCTCCGCGGAGCGGAGCGACTCGCAAAACCGCTTCCAGGGCACAGCGTGTCGCCAGGGCCGCCGCCGCGACACGCTATGCAACAATTCCCGACCGTAGACTTGTTGATAATGCGAGCAAGCGGCCTTGGCATCAGGCTAGGGACTGTGGCAGACGGCAGGTATGGCGAATGGTACATTTACGTGGCACGTGTGCGGGGCATCTGCACATCGGCTTTAAGTGCTTGCCTGCGTCGGCGTCAACATGGCCTCGGATTGCCTCGGATGGCCCGAATACGGCATGGATGGTCGTGATGAGTGGGGAGTGTCTGCCCCCCCCCACCCACCCTCGGGTTGGACGTGAAAACAATAGGATAAGGGCGGCTCTGAAGGCAGAGTCAGAAGTGATCGCTTGCTCTTGCTTTTGACCCTCCGCTCGATTCAGCCAGAGCTTCCGACCGAAGCTCCGCTAGAAGCCACGGGGAGAGCCGACAGGAGGCAGTGCTGGAGCGGGGACGGGGGCACAGGGGAGAGGGTAGGGGGTAACGATTAGCATGAGAGAGGAGGCAGAAGAGGAGTGGGGACAAGCGGGGAGGAGGAGGAGAAGGAGGCGCAGGAGGAGTAGAGAGCAGCGGGGGGGAGGCGGAGAAAGAAGTGCAGACGACAGAGGCGGAGGAGAAAGATGAGGATGAGGAGGAAAAGGGAGGAGGGAGTTAGCTTTCTGCTTACTGACGGTGCGTGTAATGCCTGCGCAGCTTGAAGCGACAGAGAGCGGAGCTCAGACGTAGCAGCCTCCATTTCGACCCGTTGTGGACTGGTGACAAGCTTTGAAGCCCCATACGTTCGATAGTACATCTCAGACGAAAACGAAGTGCATGAATCCCACATGCGACGCCCAGACATGCTGAATTGGGGAGAGAGCTGAGCACAAACGCCAGCACGCTCTACCCTACAGCCACGGCAGGGCCGAGCGACTGCCTCGGGAGGGGCATCCTGGAAGCTGGCCCCCCGTAACTTCTGACTGGCAGTCTCTGCTGGCTGGGGTCTCAAGGGAGGGGGCGTCGCTCTGGCAGAGGACAGTCCGAAGGATTGCAAAAAAACCCTTGGTTCCCCTTGGTTTTTTTGCAATCCTGCAATCCTTGGTTTTTTTTGCAATCCTTCGTTCCCCTTGGCGCTCGGCCTCGCGGAGCGGGCCATCGGAGCGGGGCCGCCCCGGGTGGGGCCGGACGCTGCCGTGAGACAGCTTGCCGGTCCCTCGGTCTGGCCAGGGGCGTTCGGAGCTCGCGCCGAGGAGAGCGCATCTCACCCGCACGGCACGTGCAGCGCTCGGTGCGCGAAGTTGCGCGTGCGAGCTGGTGGCGGGATTCGCGTGCTGTCCTTCTTGGGCCGCTGCTTCGCAAGCACGGGTGCGCATGCTGCAGCGGGGCGCGTGTTGTTCGGCCACCTGGTGCACGGGAGGTTGCGGGCTTTCGCCTTGGACAGGCGGGTGGGTCGATGCGACTTGTTTGGCGCTGCGGCGCCTCCGAGCTCATGAAGCGAGACAGCCGCGAGGATAAGCAGGAGGACGGGGAGGTGGTAGTGGCGGTGGTGGTCACTGCATAAAGGAAACAAGTCCCGAGCAGAGCAACACGCACCACGACCACGACCACGACGACAACGGCGACGAAGGCGAGGCGCGCAGACGATCCGCACCGAAGCACGGATTAGGAAAAGGGCCACCTGTAGATTCGGTTCAACAGCGCATCACTGAGCAGTGCTGCAGCCTCCCCTGAGCACAGGCCAGGACGGGGAAGGAGAGAGAAGAGGAGGAATGTGGGATGATTGGGAGATGCGATCGGGAACTTTGGGATAGCGTGTCGTTCCGCAGGTTCTGGCCCAGGGTCCCCAGGCGTCAACGTCCCGAGTTTTCCCAAGTTTCCCGCCCCGCGGGGCGGAGCGACACGCTACCCGCTTGCAAGGCATAGCGTGTCGCCGGGCCGCCGCCGCGACACGTTGTGCAAAAGTCCCTGACCGTAGTCCAGGAAGACCCAGCGAGCTAAGCAGAATAGTTGATCTCAAGTGCTGGGTGTTGGCCCTCATCGAGCCCGTCTCGGGCTCGCCGACGGGCTGGGTTGGGGGGGCGCGTCAGGGCAGACCTGCCCTGGGGCATCGAGCTTAGGGGATCCAGGGGCCACCTTGGCGCCGCATCGACCATATGAGAGAAACCGGTCCGATTGCATTATTCGATTACCGTCATTCCTCCGCCCTGTGCATGGTAGCGGCAGTTGCAGGCCCATCCTCCTCCCACACATCACGTCCTGCGAGTTGTTC